TCCTTCCTTCCTTCCTTTCTTTCTTTCTTTCTTTCTTCCTTTCTTTCTTTCTTTTTCCTTTTTTCTTTCTTTCTATTTTTTTTGCATGTATCTGTCCAATATTCCCAGCACCATTTATTGCAGAGCCTGCCCTCACTCCGCTGTATATTCACAAAGTCACTAATCATCAGAAAAAGGCAAAGTGCTGGATGTGGAGAACAGGGAGCCGTCGTGCACCCCTGCTGGGGATGTACCCTCTCACAGGCCAGGCTGCAGGAACGGACCGAAACTGGCAGTCTGACATCCCCCAAGAAATGTAGTAGTGCATGAAGTGGCAGCGTCTGAGGAGCCCTAAGTGCCTGCTGACACTCGGTAGTGCTACCACGGAGGCGGGCGAGGTTCGCACCACCACAGCTTTGCTCGCCAGCAGTGATCCCGGCTTCTGGCTCACGTATGTAAACTGAACGGAACTTGCACTGTGGGAGCGCACTGACAACCAGGGGGCAGCTCCTGCATTTAGCATCTGCCCCTGGTGGTCAGTGTGCGTCATAGTAACCAGTTGACCAGTCAACCGGTCCTTTGGTAGTTTGGTCGCTTAGGCTTTTATATATATAGACTAGAGGTCTGATGCATGAAACTTGTGCAGAAGTAGGCCTTCCTTCCCCCATCTGCCAGCACTGGCTTCCCTCTGGCACCCGGGACCCGGGCTTCCCTTGCAACCTCGGTTTCGTCAGAAGGTCATCTAGAAGGACTTGCAGTCTAATTAGCATATTACCCTATAATTATTATTATAGATAGCCTTCCCCTTCAAGATAATACCATATCTTGTGTATTATTATTGACATTATTACAGATGACCTTCATCTCTGCCTATATGCCCCCCCTCCACCCAGCACACACCCCACCACAGGCCTTCCGCACACTAATATCTATGGCTTTGAGCTATGCATATATGAAGGTAAATTTTTTAGTTAATCTTTTTCTGCCCCCCTTCCTTCCCTGAGATCTGTCCAGTTGTTCCAGGCAGCATGCCTCTGGACATATTTTTTTGATCAAGTTACATTGTTCATTAGATTCCATGTATAAGTGAAATCCTGCAATATTTGTCTTTCTCTGACTGGCTTATTTCACTTAGCAAAATATGCTCCAGGTGCCTCCATGCTGTCTCAAAGGGTAAGGGGTCCTTATTTTTTCAAAGCTGCATAGTATTCCCTGGTGTAAATGTACCACAGCTTTT